TCACACTCAGAGCTCATGCCCTCACCCCAAGCTTACAGTCGCCCTGTACGGAAACTTGTTCTCGGCATCGATGTTGGCACCACGTATTCAAGCATGGCATACGCTCTGCTTGACCCTGGCGAGGTGCCCAAGATCCATGGTGTTACGCGGTACGTCTGCTTCCCGAGCATATCTGGGCGGTCTTGATGTGGGAGAGGACAGCTTTCTGGGGCAAGAGAATGCTGCAGGAGACTCGAAAATTCCCTCCATCTTATGTTACCGCCAAGATGGCTCAGTACATTCTGTCGGTGCCGAAGCAGCTCTCCCTGGCTTGGATTTAGATGCTGAAGACCAGGACCTCGTGCTCGTAGAACGGTCCGTGTCCTTGTTGTCGAGTCATGTCCAACCCTTCTGATACATAGCCCCAGATTCAAGCTTCATTTGAGGCCGGAGAGATTCGGCGACCCCAGACGTCAAGACGTTCCTCCGCTCCCGCGCGGCAAGACAGTTATCGACGTCTTCTCCGACTTCCTCAGATATCTCTTCCGCTGCACCGGTCAGTACATTCGCGAGACACACGCCAATGGGGAGAGTCTGTGGACATCCATCGAAGATCGCATCGAGTTTGTTTTGTCCCACCCAAATGGCTGGGGGCGTCTGCAACAGGGCAAAATGCGTCAAGCAGCTATTATGGCTGGCCTTGTTCCTGACACTGCCGCGGGTCATGCTCGAGTCCACTTAGTCACCGAAGGGGAAGCGAGCCTGATGTTCTGCATCCAAAGTGGGCTCACAGAGGAAGCTATGCGGGTCTGTCCTGACTTATCATGGTTGCTGAACCTCGCAGTGCCGGTTGCTGATATAGTTGCTACAGGTTGGCAAAACCGTCATGGTTATCGAAGCGGATAGAGCGACTGTCAAATTCAGCACCTACGCATTCGCCTCCATCTTTCCCATTTCGGTATTGAAGGAAATCACGCCAGCTGAATGCAGGTAGCCTTTGGTCCGCGTCGAATTCCTCTGACTATGCATTCTAGGTATCCTCCAGGGATCGACAACAATCAATATCAGAGCCCGACAGTTCCTGGAAGGTAATGTGCTCCGTCAAAGTGTCGGGTGCTATAGGATTCACTGAGACTTTCCGAGAGAGACTAGCGTCTTCAGCTTACGGAAATGACAAGGATATCAATTCAATGATGATTTACTTCGACAATAAGACAAGGCCGGCCTTCGATGACGACAAGAAACCGTCGTACATCAAGTTCGGTTCAATGAGCTGCAATGATCCGAAATTCAGTATACGTCGTGGTCAGCTCATGCTCAGCGGGTAAGGTCGTAGCTTCACCCAAGATGACTGTCTCACCGATGGCTCACTACTACGTGGCGCAGGGCGGAAATGAAGTCCTTCTTTCAACCCTCTTTGGATGCCATCGTTGACGTCGTGCAGAAGCAGCGTCGAGAAGTCGCCGAATCCCTTGAGGTAAGTGGCAGTTCTCTCTCGGAGGTCACGGTAGCCGTTGACGTGCAAAGTTGCAATCATAGACAGTGTTCCTCGTCGGTGGCTTCGCTGCTAGTCCATGGCTGCACACTGCTCTGAAGAGCGCACTGAATGCTCATGGAGTCACTCTGTGCCGCCCGGACTCCCTCACGTACGTTGGAACTCCCCTCCCTTGCAGCGCCAAGTTTTCTAATTCACGTCACGATTGCTCACAGGAGTAAAGTAGTCGCCAATGGTGCGGTGTACTTCTACCTTGAGCAGTTCGCCTCGGCACGAATCATGAACATGACATACGGTACCAATGTTGCCGTCGATTATGACTTGAACGATCCGGAACATTACCGACGCCGCGATGACTCATTTGTCCGTCCTTCTGGCAGGGTTATGCTACGACACGGCTTCTCTATAATGTTGAAGAAGGTAATTGCTCAAACACAAGTCGTACGTGTACGCTGAGCATGCAAGGGCCTATGCACCTAGGGAACGTCAATGAGAGACAACGAGGAGATCTCTCACCCGTACAACATCGAGGCCCGCAACCTGAGAAATCTGGACAGCATCATTGTCGATGTTCTTTGCTACAGAGGCAGATCAGCCCAGCCCAAGTGGGTCGATGTCGAACCAGGAAAGTCTGATCTATATTCTGATATTGGCGGACCTTGTGCTGACGCTATCCCTTGTGCGCCGCCAGAATACTACACACCTATTTGCACGGTGTCCGCCGACACATCTAGGGTTTCGAAGGTGGCACGGAACGGGCCTGATGGCCTGTACTACTTGCAGGAGTTCAAGATCGTCCTTCTCTGTAACTCTACCGAGCTTCAAGCACAAATCGGCTGGGTAGATGGGGTAAGCATCTACAGTATGCGCTATCAGACGGCACTCACTCAGCTTATGGACCGTCTGTTGAACCAGGGCGTTGAGCATCGGTGCGTCCCATGCTGATCCGTCGGATACTGCATCGTTGACGACTCAATAGGGGCCCAGCCAAGATATTCTACGACGATGATCTCGAGATCTCCCAGTGACATTAGGATTCTGCTGATCGTCATGGATGAAGTACAGTCGCCAATCCAAGTTGACTTTCGTGTTCTCTAGCGTGTGAGCACCTAGAGCAACCGATGCGAAGAAGAATCTCTGCAGTGGAGTAAGGACGAAATATTGAGGTAGTGCTCGAGAGATTACAGCCGCGAGACTTATCGGACGCCACAGTTGCGGTCCGAGTCAGGGATCCAGTAGAGAGGGTGTCAAGACGTGTCCAGCACAATACGTCTTGTCTCAGAGGGTAAGATGGGATGAGAGGTATTTCAGGGAGGAGCTGTATCTTTGAAAGAGTAGTCTGTACCGAGGTAGAACGCATGACTGCCCGAGTGTCCAGGAGATGGAGGGTGTGCTAAAGTTGTGACGCTGTGAGACGGCGAGCGGCGTTGAAGACCGTGACGACGGCCGCGTTTGATGGCATTACGTCAGCCGTCGCAGAGCAGTTGACTGCGGGGCCTCAGACAGTCAGCGCCCGCTCTCATACCATTCCTCTCTGCTCTTTCCATTCATCAACGCTTGCTCCCGCAATTTGCGTTTACGACGTCCCAGTCAGCTCAGGCTGACGCTGCCGATGGAGAATGGCAGAGCCCCAACCAGGACGCGTGGGTCCGATAACGCGGTGTAGTCCATAGACGTCTATCATCCGTCTACTCGCTGTCGCCCCGTCCGGTAGATAGTACTCTTCTTCGACAACGACCGGCGATGATTTCTTACCGCCATACGCGGAGATTGCTGCTACTGGCGGCCAAGAATAGCAGAGTTACGCGCCTATCCGTCAAGCAGCAAACTCACCCAAGTCGTGAGGCATCCCTACGTCCCTCGTTTGCCTGCTCTGCCCCCCTGCCCTCTCGCTCTCTCCAGCCGATATATCTACCTAGCTCACCTCTGCGCTGCACTCTGATGCCTCGCGAGAACAGCTTCAGCGATTCCGAGGGCCGTTCTCTCACTCCAGACCCCGAAGACGGTCTCGCGACCTCTCCAGCCTACCCCGGGCCCCCCGCCGCCCGTCCCAGCACCGACAAAACCAATGCCCACTCTCCCAACTCGGAGGAGAAGAGTCCTCAGCACCGCCAGCTCAAATGCGGCTACACATCCCCCACCACGCCCTTCTCCACCGCCCAGCAGCCCATCTTCCTAGCCCCCGCGGACCGCTTCCGCTCCGCCGTTCGCAAGGTGATGGCCATGCGCTCTATGTCCTCGCTCTTCACACGCCGCGGTGTCGGTGCGGAGCCAGGGGCCGACCCGCGCTCGGCCGCCGCGTTCCTCAGCTACGGGCATATCCGCCAGCAGTGCACGATCGAGGTGAACGACTACTCGACGATGCGGACGAGCGCTATGAGGATGGACAATACGGCGTTCTTGAAGTTCCTAGCGGAGGAGGGCGCGAGCGGGAGGAGGGAGCCGTGGGTGCGCGTGAGGTGGATCAACGTCGGGGGCATTAGCTGGGACGTCGTCAGCGCGCTCGCGCTCAAGTACGGTGCGCGTCCTTCCTCCGCGCTCTGTGCCATTGAGATGTCAATGTTAATGTCAATGAATGGCGCGCGCTCGCGCCCGTCTCGTGCAACTCAGACCTGCACCCGCTCGCGCTCGAGGACGTCCTCCACCAGCGCGGCCACCCGCGCTCGAAGGCGGACTACTACCCGCAGCACCTCTTCGTTCGCGTCCTCGTCCACACCCTCGCCTCCGCCGCCGCTGAGGTAGACGACCGCGCGTCGGACGATACTGCGGTTTTTTCCCGCGGCCCTCGTTCGGAGTCCCCCGCGCCCATGGAGGACGAGGACGAGGATGCGGTCAGATTCCGGGTCAGTGCGCGCAGACCTAACGGTACCGGAGAAGACGAAGAAGAGGAGGTCGAGGGTGACGAGCGGACAGTGTACGGCAGCGCGAGCGCGTCCAAGTTCTCCACCTTTCGGCGGGGGAAGAGGCCCAGCGTCGGTCTCCGGCGACGCTCCGAGGGCCCCCACGACGTCGAGGTCCCCCCGCCCCCCGCTCTCGGGCAGTGGCGCTTCGCCGGCGTGGACATGGTAGAGGAGAGCGGCAAGAAGACGGCGCGGTACAGGAAGCTGGTCAAGGAGCTCAAGCGGGGGGACCGGGTCGAGGTCAAGATCCGCCCGATGTGTGTCTTGCTCTTGAGGGACGGGACGGTGGTTTCGATCCACAAAGGTAAGCTTTGAGGACGTCTGCTAGCTGTGCCTATATCACTGCGCTCACGACCCATCGGCACCATTGCGGGCAGATACGACGCTGGGCCTGACGGCGCCGATCGCAGAGCGACTGAGGCAGCGCAATACGGTGCTGCGGACGAGCGCGGACCCGTCGCTGCTCGTCCAGTCCTTGCTTGACCTCGGTGCGTCCTCAAGTGCGAGCGGTGTACGCGCCCAGGGCTGACATCCGCTCCTCTCCACATACCAGTCGTCGACCAAGCGCTGGAGGTCGTCGAGGAATATCAGGGTCGGATCCTCAAGATCGAGCAGCAGGTCCTGCTCAAGCCCAGCGTGCAGACCGTCCGCAGACGTACGTACTATCCAGCTCCCTCCGCGCTCCCCGATTGTCCGCTCGGACTCGTGGCCCTGGACTCCACATTCCGATGGGGGTTCTCATGCTTTCGTTCGGTTCGTTTGGGGCAGTGCATATACTGCAGGGCGACCTGGTGCTGCACAAACGCACGCTCGAGCCGATCAAGACGGTCATCTACGGTCTCAGGCGGTACGACGTCGACCGTGCTCTCGCGCTGCGGGATCCGAGCAGCGTCGATGAGAAGGTGCCCGTCGAGGGGTATATGAGCCATAAGGCGAAGATCTACCTGGTGCGTCTCCAGTTTGGCCATTTGGACTCGTGGGGGTTACAGCTGATGAGTTTGGGCGTGTACACGGCATAGGCTGACGTGCACGATCATATGGAGTATATCTTGACGAGCTTGGACATGGTTGCGGGCATCACGGAGAATCTGATGAACTACACGTTCAACGTAAGTCTTCGCCAGTTTCGTTGTCGCTATCCGTGTTCAGAACGATAGGAACGACTGATTAACCCTCATTCGCAGATGGCGTCGTACGAAATGAACGACGTGATGTAAGCCCGCCTCTCGGTATGCGTACCGAAACTTCCGTCGCAATACTGACAAGTTCCTTCGCTGCTCAGGCGCCGGTTGACGATGGCGACGATCATCTGTCTCCCACTCACCCTCCTCACGGGGTACTTCGTGCGTATCCCGCTCTTCTGTGATGCATTCCGCGTGCACTCATGGGCTGACGTCTCGTCCGGACGGGCAGGGCATGAACTTCACCAGGCAGTGGTCGGTACACTCGCACAGCGACCTCTTCTTCTGGGAGGTCGCGATTCCCGTCATGCTCGCCGTCGTCCCCCTCTTCATGTGGGCGGACATACAGCGCATGGGGCGTTATCTGGATAAGAGGTGGAGGCGGCGGAGGATCAATAAGGTGCGTTCAGGCCCAACATGTGGCTGTTGCTTGGCTGTGGCGGGGATAAGACGTGCTAAGACGATCGGGCATATTGCAGGCGTTCAAGCGTGCGTAGGGCCGTGGAGTGGTACGAGCTGGATCTAATCACAAGGACATACGTTGCGCATTTGTCTGTCTTAATTTCACCAAATTTGCGATTGACATTTCATATAATCTCAATATCTACTAACGGGACATCTCTGAGCCAATTTACTAGTCCTGCCGCGGCGTGTGTGTTGAAGTATCCGATTCTGCGGAACCTCTTTCCGCCAGCTGCAGGGGCCTGCGAATGTTCCCGGTCGACGATGAGACCAGCCACAATGTTGTTACTCCAATGTATCGGGACTGCCCACACTCCTTTGACACCCTCGTCGTCGTCGCTGTCAATATAACCAATACCGATGGCCTCCATAGCGACTTCGAGTTCTTCATCGTCGTCCGTGGATGTAATAACAGCGGGATCCGGTAAGGAATCAATACGATATAGAAGGTTTGGCGTCTTGAGATTCCATGCACAGGCCACTACAGGCGAACGGAGGGTCAGCTTTCCCGCGATGACTTCGCCGTAAGGGATCTCCGCATTCTTCAGAGTGATATCGCATGTAACCACATGGGCGACATGCAAGCCCTTTCCTGATCGTACAGATATCGCTCCGGCCTCGACCTGCCCATCGACGGCTGCCCAGGACCACGAGGGAGCTCGGTATTCTCTTGGCCTTGGGATATCTGAGCGGACTCTCTTGCTCCAGAGCAAGTCCGCAAGCAGCGTATCGCGCCAAAGTCCAGCCAGGTACTGGGTCCGGAAGATGCGGTGCATGCCCTCTGCAATGCCCCCAAGTGCGACAAGCTTGTCTCCGGGAACGGTGATTGAGCGCCGCGTGTAGTCACGCACGAGCATGTGCCACGCCTCGCGCAACTGCCACTCATCCCCACCCAGATCAGCGATGAGCTGCAGGTCCTCGTCCTGGAGAAAGAGCACATCAGGTAGCCGCGCCCTTCGTTCCTCATCGTGGTATGCACTACCGATGTTCTGGACCGCAGTCTGGCAATGGAATTGGAGGGTGTGGGAGGCAAACACCAGCGAGCGCGGCGACATGAAGTACTCCTGCATGCACCATCCACGATCATTGACGGGCTCCACGTTTGGGTTGTATTGCACTGATGGCTGCCCGGGCGGATCGGTGTACGTCCATATCGGGGAGACGCGGAGTTCGCCCACTACATGCTCACCAGAATGGCCCTTCCCCGGAGGACAGAGGAAGGGAAGAGTGATATCGCGTAGAAATGTGGAATGGTCCGTAATGGGCGCAGCGGGCCTTTCTTGCAAGAAGCCCTCGCTCACCCGCCGTGCACTTGCAGCAATGATCGTTACGTGCGCATCGCGGTAGACAAGGCGCATACGCGAGAGCTCGCGCCCCTTATCCTCCGGTGAATCTTGAATGATGCACAATGTGTCCGCCCAGAGATAGTCCAGGCCGATCTCATGTGTGGTATGAATTGCATCGAGAATTGTCTGTGGAAGGTGCTCCGGGTCAATGAATTTAAGGTATGTCTCCAAGTTCGACACGGTCGTGCTGTGCGGCTGCGGCTCGCCCCATACGTAGCTAAGTGCGGCATAGCTACCACGAGTCCCATCTGTTGCTATCAGACGAGGATGTGCGACGTTACTACAGTCGATCAAGCGCGTGGGTAGAAAGGGTGGGAGGGCTAGGGGTCGAGGACAGGAGTTATGAGTGTAGATGCACTCGTCGAGGGATTGCTTTGCAAGAGCGAGCGACTTGGTAGTCCCAACATCGAGAACGCGATTCCTTGCGACAATGTACTGAGCTGCAGGATCATCTGATGGGAATGTGTGAGATGACGTCTTGATTGAGTGGTGTCAGACTCACCAGCAGTTGTGTACACATAGCCGATGAAGTGCAGGGTATCGTCGATAAAGACGGAGAGATCCTGGGTGCCCTTTGGCGTGCAATTTTGAAGACACCCTTGACTTCCGACCACAATTCTCAGAGGGGACTCGGGCCCTGGCTCTTCTTCTTCCTCCTTGGTTGCATATACGAGTTGGCACCAACGGCAGCCTTCGGATGCACGAGACGCCACCTCAGCCCATGTGGTCCGATAGGTGAACCCCCCGCTCGTCTGATCCCCGCCACGTGATGGATGCACTTTCTGCAGAAGGCCGAGGTGGGCCATAAAAAGTCCTTTCCAGCATGTCTCGCAGATTTTCGATGGCGGCCTCTCGATAGCATCGTGGCCGTTGCAGCAAGGGCTGTCAACGTCATCAATAGGGTTCGTCGTACATACCAGTACCCCACAAATGTCTCACCAGATCATCAGGGATATCTGGGTACCCATAGAGCAATCAGACAGGTCTTTCAGCCTGAGAGAGATCTGACTGATATGAATGTAGTCGGCGAGTCCAAGATTCGTGCATCATGGTGTTCACGTTTGTATCGATTTGACGGGTTTCTCCGAGCGCTCACAGATGTGCAGTCCAATCATTGTGATCCTTTGACCTGACCCCGTTGTAGCACCTCCCCCTCTATCGCGCGATTCCTGCACGCTATTTAAGGCGTAGCGTACTGAGTACACCGAGGATATGTTGCCACGGGGCACCAGAGGCAGCTGCAGAATTGGAAGGGTCAAGGGACCAACCAAGTGGATCAATATTAATTGGGTGCGCGAGTTGCGGTTGCGTTAGCATTGAGCTCATCTGATTGCGCATACCTCAACTTCACATCTATAACAAATTTGCATTGTTATACGAGTATAAGTACAGAGTTATCCTGTGTCCCGCCCTCGACAGGAAGCTGTGCTTAAACAATCTGCATTTGATTAGAGCTTATCTTCTGCTCGTCACCCGCGCAAATGCTGGGCTCCTCTGGTCCCTCCCAACCTCCCACTTTCTCGTGCGCAATGTGCAATACTTCAGAACCTCTGTCGCATGAGCTGTCATGCTTAGCTCCCTCAGGTTCCCCAACAACTATGATAGTGGACCTGGTCGGGAAGACGGTAAGACGGTCTATCCGGCTCTCCGTGAAGCCTTTATCCATGTGAGACCGATTGAGCGCAACGAGTATAGCGATGATGGCAGGATATATTGCCTGTCAATGAGTACTGCGTGAGTCGTGCGCAGGGGTCGAAAGGAATCCCGTCATACGATCATAGGCACCAGTCCTCCATTCATGAAAATATTGAGTCCATTCAGGGCAGAGTCGTCTTCTGCGTTGTAAGCACTCGTTTTCATGACCTGCCAGATGACCACCAGAATCTGCGAGGAAGAGTATAATCGACAGCGGGCTTTGTCACGAAACGATGGCCTCACCCACAGAGCAGTGTATGCCATCCCTGACTCAATCAATATAGAGAAGAGCCGCTCCAGTTTCGCGCTCGTATGACCTGCCATCAAGTACCGGCAAAGGAATCTTCTCGAGTACCTGGGATGTTGCATGAGAGTGCTTTCATGACGTAGAAGGAACGCTAGGAGGAACGCACCATGCCTTGTAAGCAACTGTTAGAGTTGCAAAGAGATTCGTGAAGAGAGATAACACGGATGCTGCGACATCGTATGTGAATACCTTCTCCGCAAGGCCAGTTCCTGAACAAGACTCCTTCGCAACTAGTGCTCCCAGAGCTGGATACCGTGAAAGAAGGATCAACAGACAATGACGGGTGTGGTATGTTGCCACGAGCTCACCGAACGTTGCCCACGGTAAGATAACGAAGGCACTTCCCATGATACGGTTCCCTGGCCAGAGCAATGAGACCCGCCAGCAGATGATTGCATCTCTACACAAGATCTGGGTGCTGTTAGCATAGGGTACTCCATGCTTATAAGCGAGACCTACGTTAATGATAAGTGTGCCGTTGGTGGCACAACGTCCATGCAGGGAGACCCAATCGCCAACGGGGGCGCAAAGTGAGTACCATGGCCGATTTGGTTGCCACGACGCGTCTGAATCCTTTGCTGCTGACTGAATTCCCTTACAGATGATGTTTCCTAGGGCAGAAATAGAAAGCAAGACGCTGAGGACAAAGTCCGTTGTGGTGGACACATAAAGGAGAGCGAGCATTAGACTGAGTGCAGTCGTCATGTAAAAATGAGTGCGTCTCTGTCTTCAAAATAAACGAGAGCGAGATGTCAGCGAGCGAGCTGGTCACATGAGATATAGAGATGGATTACTTGACGAGAGCCGCCCAAGCGACCAGTACTAGCACAGTGAATGTACCTAACATTCCGTCATAACACGGTAGGGGAGGATATTGGCGTACTCTCTCTCACCGTTCAGTGCAGCCATCAGGCTCAGCTTCCCTACCTCCGCTCTTATAGCATACGCGATAGCGGGTGACCCAGACAAGTCTGTCTGGATAGAAGGCATTCGGATCGAACCTTCCTGCGGGTACCGGTGGGAAGGTTTCAAAGGAGCGAGGAACTGGATGGAGTATGGCTCCATACGTTCACCGTGTCTCTCGTTTATATCAATCAGCCTCCCGAGAGCAATGGCGCAAGAAGAAACGCCTACCCTTCATTGCAGGTCTGTTCCTTCATACCGATAACTCCCGAAGCGTGCTTGGCAATGCCTCCCAGATCTGCCACACGGAAAATTCACCAGCAGTTCTCCGACGCATGCCGGAAAGCGTACGGCCAAGCCCAAAGCTAGGGATGGCGCTTACATTGGAATCTAAACGTCCGGTTTTTGGTCTATATGAGAGCGCCGTACTCGATCTCCGTCCCCGGTCTGTGAAGCAGGGAGTCATATGGGTAGGAGTAGTGGGTGCCACGAAATCGACCGGAACAGAGCATCCACGTGTCGGCCGCCCTCTTCCTCTTACCGGTGCCACGGAGGGAGGCGAGCAGGTCGATCCGATTTTCAGCGCTGGAGAGCTTGATGCACGAGCGCGGTACTACAGTGCACGCCCAGCCTAAGTATCACGCATATCTGTCATTGCACCGTCCGGGAGGAGCCGAAGGCCCAAGGCCTCAGGCTGTACATGAACTTCCTTGCGGCCAGGACTTCCTTTCGCCACCCAGACGGATACATGCAGCCGACGTCTGCACCAAGTGATCTATGCGACATTGCGTCCATTCTGCCACCGGAGCGCCCCGTGAAGGAGGACGCGGAGAAGGAGCTTCTATAACGCCGCACGCGCCCTACGAGGGCGTCGAGGACCCGGAAGCCCCGTCGCGAGTGTCTGCTTCCGATGAGCTTCATCAAGCGCGAAGGCAATATCGCAATGGGCAGCCCCGGACTGAAGGCGCCCATAGGAGACCTGAGACAGGCGGACGCTGCGCGGGAAGAGACTATCACGGGAATCGGTAGCGTTCCTTGTGCAGCGGTCGAGGGTGCTCACTTTGATGACGCAGCGTTCTTTGTTACAGACGCCGAAGAAGGCATGGCTAGGTCGAGCGGACCGACAACGCGCATCGGGCGTCGACTCGACCTCGCAGACAACACCGGACGTGGTGATGCCACAGAAACGGGGTCAGAGACGGAGCAGGCGACGGATCCCCATTCCAATAGGTTACACGGGACGCGCACGTTGCGAACGACGTTGCTCCGGCCGCGATGGACTCGGGCGGCGATGCGTGATTGAGGCGAGCGGGACGACCGACAGCGAGACTCGTGCGACAGGGCCGGGTCGCGGCGACGACGAGGGCAGCGAGAGACGGCGCGTCCTAAAGGGGAGGCGTCCTGCGATTATGTCGGGAGTCATAGTGATACAGGAAGCCTCCGATCCAGCACACAAGCATGGACATCAGCTTTTGATCTGTGATGTATAGTCAAGGGAAAAGGGATAGCTGGGTGCAAGCGAGGAGGAATACAGGCCTCAGGACGAGTCTCATCAAAAGCGCCTACACACGATACACATCCCCATTCGATCGGAGTGATATGCAGGCCTCTTCCACCTGACGACGCACTGGCTGTATAGACCGTTTCGCCTGGCACGAAGATTCAGGACAGGGCATGAAGCAGTGGCCAGTGCGCACGAGTAAGAGTCACGCGAGCACGGGAGGGAACGTCAGAGACTGCAGACACACCTCGAGCCGAGCGACTCGGTCCCCAGCGCACTATTCCAGCCTGCGTCCGTGCGACACCGGCTGAACGTGCTTCCCCGCGGGCGTGGCGGCATCCGTCAGGATGGGCAGACGAGCACGGACCACGCCGTGCAAGGAGAGATCGGAAGAGAGACGCAGGGCGAGCAAGATGAAAGTTTGCCAACGACTCACCCGCGGGCCGACCATACCGCGCGGAGTTGGTTCGACCCTCTCTCAGCAACACATAGGGGTATACCCGCAGAGGACGGGAGTAGGGCGACTGACCGGCGTAGGGGGACTCACCTTGACAGGTAGGGGACGTCCGTTCCCGCTCGGGGGACCAGCCGGAAGGAGGGCGTGCTGGGTCTGCTGAGCGTCGAGGGCCAGGTCTACGGCACACGCCGTGTCGTCGTCGACCACCGGTGGAGAGCGACAACACTTGTGGCTGCATCGAGGCGTTTTCAGCATCGTGACGCCAGAAGGAAGCCGAGCATGCGTACCATGTCCACCATCCGATGTGCGAAGGGGGATGACTGCCTTGAAGACGAGATGCGGAGCATCCGAGGACGGAAGGGAAGACGGCAGAGCGAGGATGGGGGCCGGAAGTGAGTTCCTGGTCGCGTTGAGGGCGAAACTGATGGGCGCTAGAGTGCTATAAGGTGTTCGTGGATGCGCACACGTTGTATCGTCTATGGCCAGGAAGCGCGTAGAGGAGCACCATGGAGGCTGTGGGCGGGCTGGGTTTGAGCTTGTCTGAAATCGGGAGCATACGCACGGGATGATATCATTTGTACGTTTTCCCAGTACGAGTCAGCCACGCAGCAGCGCTGGGGATATCAGAGTAGCAGAACGAAACATACGCGATGGCCTGTTGCCCGGAGCGACAACACTGAGCTCAGCTGTTGGTGGCGGAGGGAGACGAAGGGACGGTTCGGGTTGTTGGACAGCCGGACGGCCTCCCCAGAACAGGCGCCGTCGTCCATTTGCGTGCGTCTCTTGCAAACACTCCATGGACGCAAGACGTCGTGGCCTGCTGTCTACCTCATCATCCACCTAGCTTGTGACTGATTCCGTATCCGCCACACAGGAGGTCGCTATGTAGTCGGTGTAGAGAAGTGATAAGAAGAGGAACGTGGGATGATGAAGCAAGGCTTCTGATCCCACGCTTATATATTAAGCTGGGTGTACAATAGGAGTCGTAGTTACTAATATACAATTGATACAAGCCCGTATCCGCGCGGAAGCTGTTCCTCCCGGCGGCGGAAGAGCGTCTCATCGCTCCGCAACACTCCCCCTCGACGCCGGGTGCAAACCTAAGCGTGCAACCAGAAGTTGGTGGCGAGGGCGAGGGAACGGTTTGGTGGGGAGGTCGGCCACGTTCTCTTCGGAGGAGCAGTGGTTGAGCTCTACCTCGTTAGAGGTAATCCGTTCGCGCACAAAGTGATAATGTATGTCGATATGCTTGGTGCGAGCGTGGGGAACTTCTCGTTCGGCGGCGGCAATGGCGCTGCGACTGTCAGCGTGGAGGACCGTCGGACCGGCGTGGGAGAAGCCTATCTCCGATAGAGGGCCCGAAGCCAGACGATCTCCGATGTTGCTTCGCTGGCGGCCATGTATTCGGCCT